GGCGGCTCTCCAGCAAAACAAACTACAAAATGCAACCAGAAGCCGAGGGAAAGGACTGCTTCCATTTCAGCAATGCAGAAATACCCTTCTCCCTGGGCCAGGAAGACCCGCACCAGGCAAGAGCAGAGCGCGGCCGGTCTCCCCGGGGCGGGGGCCACAGGAGGGGCTGAGCGCGGGTGCACTGCCCCAGCGCCGCACGGCTTTGTCTGTGCGCTGGCTCTCGGGACAACCACGCAGGAGGTTGCCCAGCCTAAACGCTGACCCTGCATGTTCACAAATACCATGTTCACACGTATGCTACACCACGTAAATAACATCATAAACATCTTGATTTCAGGCACTTCAGCAGAGCTCCGGTAGTCGTACACCCCTAACGCCGGCAGAATAAGCCTTAACAAACCCCTGCGCACACTCATTTAGGATTCAGATGAGGATCATTTTACTCAGATTAGGGGCAAAACATTTAAATTAAAAAATTCTTTTTTTTTTTTCACACTGAGATTTTAATCCTGGTTAATTATTTCAGACATTTTCCATATTAATTAAAGCCATACTGCTTCTTTCTTAAGTTCGTTATCTCCTTTCTTTGAGTAAAGCTATTTAATAGTGGAGATTGTGGAAAACATTTGTTCATGATTATCCAGACATACAGTCAAACAAGACTGAAACAAGAGCAGCATGCAAAAATGTATTTAAGGACTATCATCCCAAAATGCTGCTAAAAGCTATTAACCAGTACGTGTTAATTGCCACAGCATTCATATTAATTTTCACTTCAGGCCCGACATTGTGGAATATTTCCCTTGATACATTTTAAACAAAGTTTAATTTAAGGAACTGCTTCTATCAACACTTATGAAAATTAACAGCCAAGCAATTAGCACTCATGAATTATCCCTTCCCCCATGCTTTCTACAGCATCATTTTAAAAACAGTTGCTGCAAGAGAAATTGTGGGCTTTAACCCATTACCAAAATTGGCCACAAGAAACCCTGTAACACAGCAGAGAGGCACCAGTCCTCGCAATAGGATTTAAGCATCTGTCCGGCCAAAAATCACGCTGACCTGTTTTCATTTAACTTATCTTCAGCAGTCGTCAACAAAACCCCTACAAGGAAAGAAGGGCAAAGACTTGCCTAAATCTCCAACTAGTAGTCAAGAAACTAGAAATGAAATATCTTCAGAAACCTCTAGTCTGAGCACATAAAAGGCTTTGGCCTTCTAACTCGAGTTTATTCTAGAGCTGAACAATCCCTTCCTTACATTTTAGGGGTGGTTTTCCAACTTTCTTCTTGGACTATTTTGCGTATCTTTGGCACCTCTTTTTTGACTGACCCATAACACTTCCGTCTTTGCTGACCTTCTTCTGGGGACATAGGAGCAGCTGTTTGGCATCAGGCTTGTCAAAACTGGAAGTGACATTCCAGTGATCAGGATTTCTTAAAGGCAGCAGAGACTTGGAAGAACGATGGACGTGGACTGGCTTCAAAGACGATGTCAAGGGGAGCTGTAAACAGGTCTTAAGATTTACCCATTCAGTATGTGGTTCCTACAAAGCTGAACATTCGATTCTAGCACAATTTTCCTCCAGTCTAGTAAGTAAATACATCTTGGTAGCATTTTTCTTACTAGTGGGCATGGTCATGCGGTTGAATAGCTTCAAAACTAATACTGTACTAAATCAGTATCCGTTAAGATTAATATCTCAGGGAAAACTCATTGCCAAGCTTCCCAGCAACTTATGCAAGTTGTGATCTGACAATACTCTGAATTTCTACAGAATGAAAAGGTAACTTACACTTTCAAAACAATTAATGAAAGCAGGCAGGTGACACGTGCGTGAACTCAATCTTGTGACTCTCTCCATCGTGTCACTGAAACGAGCCATTACAAAACTCCTGGGTTTCATGGTGGTACCTGGCTACGGCTTTCAAATCTGTCTTATGGTCAGTCTCATTTCCCACCCTTATCAACATTTGGCACAGTGGAAAAATAAACCATCAAATTTTGATTTTTCAAGTCCTGTAAACAGAAACATACCTGAAGTTCTCTATAAAACGGATGGTAATTTAATATGCATGCAGATAAAGGAAATCAATTTGGTCACTGACTTCTTAAGCCTGCAAGTAATCTTCCACACAAATGACAACTGAAGTAATAATAACTAACTAAAGGCTCCTTCTCACACAACACTCAGCAAAAGTCTTCAAGATTCATTAAGCGAGCTGTACAACCCACGTGATTTACAAACTCTGCACACAGATGCAGGGGTTAGGTGTACTTTAGCTATTTTAGGGAAAAACTGGAAGATACAGCCAAGAGTAGTTACTCTGTGTGTGTCTTTAGAATCACCTGAATTCTTGAGCTGATTAGAATGCTTCCATTGTAGTTGCATTTCACAAGCCGTATTCTCTACTATTTTGATAATTAATGAACTGATCAGAACAAGAAGAAATTAGAGTGCTTTAAAATTTTATTATTTCATAAAATTGGAGAAGTGGTTATGAAAAAGACACTAAATCTGGCAGAAAACACCTGCAAGACGTAAGGACTTCAATAAATTTGCCTGGTTGATACTACAGCATGCAATGTTCTCTTACTTTTAACTGATTAGTTTAAAATAATACACCAGACGGAGGGAGGGGGTGGGAAGGGCCCTAAAGAGAATGGGTTTGTGTGATTTCAGGCCAGTTAGGGAGCTCAGTGGTAAGTTCAAACCATTCAGAAAGTAGTTAAGTACACACACAGAGCTTCAATACAGGGAGTCAAGCTTTCCTCCTGCTTTCCAGCGAACCACATGTGCACTATTCAGCAAGCCGAAAATCTGTGTTACGAAACTCAAATATATATTATAAACCAAAGGCCTAGTTATAATCTTAAAGATTTCAGAGCCACTGTGATCCCTTGAGTAAATACCTAATTAAGTAGGGTTTTTTTAAGACATGTTTAATTAGGCCCCTAGCCCCTCCTCACCCCCCTGCCTCTCCCCAATTATGTACCATTCCCCCAAGAGATATATGGCTCTGTTAATTATGTAAATAAGTCATGCGCTAGTCCCTGAAAGAATTGTATTTATGTGAAAAATACTCTTCATCTCGTATCAATAGAAATACGAGCCCTACGATCTAGCATTAAAAAGGGTTTTTAAAAACTAGGTGGTTTTTGATTTCATGTCACTGCCTGAAAATACGACAAAACTGAAGTAAAATAACTCACTGCTGAACTGTGATGTTTCTTCTGTATCCCAGATGGTCAAGCAGGTATTTAAATATAGACAATACAAATGGAAGTATAGAAAATACATTTTATAAGCATATTACTGACAAACTTACCAGAGTAACATAAACAATGCTGTTAATATGAATACAGCGAGATTATACTCTAACAAAATGCCAAATCAGTTTTGGAATTAAAAAGGTATTTTTATTCCTATATCACAATTGAGTTGGTTGGTATCAAACCCTACAAACCACAACTGACTATCAAAGAGGCATGTCATTAGTATCTCAAACTCCTGTTTCCTTCAAACGGAGCAAACAACTGCTAAATGCATCAACCTTTTAGCTATGAAAATTAAGATGGTCATTACAGACAACTGTAATTCCTATTAGTACAGTAAAAAGTCGTTTGGATTATCGAACTGGGAAGGAAACACGCGTAAGTTCCTCAAGTTTCTGAGAAAAAAAAATCACTGCAGGTAGCCCAAACCTTGCTCAAGTATTAAAGCGACAGGACTGGGACACCACTGAACCCCCATACATTTCTCCTAATAAAGCAGCATTTCTTTTGGCTTTATTCCCTTCGCCCATGACTGCTGGAGCACATTTAACTGGTCGCCAAACTGAAACGTCACAAGAACAGCAAGCTTTCAGCCTAGAAAAAAGGCATCTTGGTGTCAGTATCGCACTACTGCTGTCGTTTGTTACCCAGGCCAGAAATCTCGAGAAACGGAGTCAGCACGAATCACTCCATGTTCATGAGCCTAAAATAACAGTAAACACAGCTGTTGCTGCATGGACCTCCCAGTTTAAAAGTGACCCTTTCACAAATGCCCGAAACCCTTCTAACTACGCCAGCGGGATTACGCATCCGAGTTTCCACTTTCAGAGTACTTAACAGAATATGAAATTCTTCCATCACAACGGTAATGAAGCTCAAACTTCACACTCCCACAGGAGACTCCACAAACAATCCAGCAGGAAACAGATCTGTGCAATATTTATAATTGTTTTGAAACAATATGACACTGATCCGTCACACCCATGTTTATATTTCAGTTTCTAGAGTTTACAACAGGGAAAATACTCGACAACGCAGAGTAAGGAGACTGCACACAGGAAGGAGTTCTCCACAGTTCTGAGGAATACCTGAGCTTTTGGAATGGATGCAGTCAAGAGTGAATCTGACCCACCAGGTTTGTAGTCAACCTCCTCCGTGCATTACATTAATGAATTCTCGCGCAGAACTACATTGTTTAGTCTTTTTTTGCCCCAGATATTGACCTATTGATGCTGCAGTTTTCCGCTCTGAAAACAGTGGCTTTTGCCCACTCTCACTAGAGCATTTTGAGGATAAAGACAGCATAAATCATGGAATATTCAGCAAGGGCTGTGATGTGGCCAGACAGAATAGATTTTTTTTAAAATGCCAAATAGCCAGTCATTTATACAAAGGGTTTCACCTCTGTAGAGAGATGTCCTGGACTCTGCCACACTCAGCGTTTACTAACTAACCTGCCGGGGAAAACAGCAGGGTGAAGGGTGCCTGAGGGATGGCGTAATTCTGTAACGAAATGGGAAAAACAGTTCTACTGAACCTGGAACCATTATATTTAAGACGAAGAGAAGCATGTTCCTAGATAAACACTTTAAAATAACTGATAGCCTACTGTAAAGGCTAATTAAAGCCTGAACAAATAAATGAACACCAGAACTGCCTAAGGCCACCATCTTCAGGTCAGGGGCCACCTGGAGATGAGAGAAAACAGGTGGTCCACTTACCTTGCCGTCAAATTTGGAGTACTCGTTGAAGGGGTTATTCAGCTGCAGCGGACACTGCTCCAGTCGCACGGACAGTATTGACTGCTTCCCGGAACTCGGAGACTTTACTCTGAAATTCTTCTTTTCAAATAGCGAGCTCAGCTCCTCTGCTGTAGATCAGAAGAGATATTAGAGTGAATCAAGAGAATCCTTTAGGTTGGAAAAGACCTTTAAGCTCATCAAGCCCAGACGTTAGCCCAGCAGTGCCAAGGCCACCACTAAACCATGTCCCTGAGCACCCCGTCTACACTCTTGGATCCCTCCCGGGACGGTGACTCAACCGTCCCTGGAGCAGCAGGGATGGAGTAGTACTAGTTGTACTGGGAGATGCACAGAGGCTACTGTTTACCATGGAAAGATAGCATTATAAGAGAGAGGACAAAATGAAACACAGAAAACAACAGAAGCTTTAGCAGGGCAGAACCTACCACCGCTCCTTCATAGCCCAAAGATAGGAAACTATAAAGTTTGAACAATGCTACTGTTTAGGCTGAGGTAAAGATGGGTTTTTACTCCTACAGAGAATGGAATCAATCACTACAAGATCCACATGAGTCAAGATAAAAAAATCAATATTCAAAGAGAGAATTACGCATTCCTGGTCCTTCTGCTTGCCTACCTTTTGCTAAACGAACAGGAAATGCTATGCAAAAGAACTGCTGACACACATACAAATGCACTCTTTGTGTGGTCTATGAAGGCTCATAAAAGCCTCCAACAAACAGCCCTTTTAATATGAAGACCGCATAGCTGAATTTCCAGCAACAGTTTAACTCAAAATTTACAGTATACTTCAAAAAATTTAAAAATTAGGGCTTCTTCTGCCGTAAGGACACTGCGAAATGAGGACAGAGCCTGGGGTGTTTTAGCATATTAGCACCAGTGGGTCTCATCTGCAAGACACTGCGACTGAATCTGGACAAGTTTTCCCACATCTGCTCTAGGAACCGAGTACCCCCAGACTCCATCAATCACTGCCCGAGTGCGAACAGCAGCTCTCCCAGACCGGCGGCTCGGCTCTGTGCTCTCTCACAGCTCAGAGACTTACATGTTGCTCCCCCCGGGAAATGAAACTGCTCCTATGGCAAAATGACTTGGGACTTGATCCGCAGGGAGCTGGTTAATTTCTTAAAGTGCGAAATTAGAACTTGTCAAATTATAACTAGTCAAAAGTTCAGCTTATTTTCACGAGCAGATTGCCTGAAAATTCAGACAGTTGGCAAAAGTGCTAAATACTGGCACTAAGAGATACCCAACAGTCTTGTGAGAGGCTGTGATTAACCAAAAAAGCTTGATTAAATCCTTTTTAAATGTGGCAACTTGAACTCTGTTAGGTATTCGGGTTTTTAACGAGCTTAACTCTTTAAAAAACCCCAAAAATCTCAGTTATGATTATACTGGAGTATCACCCTTCACTGGTATTTCTCGGGCATGTGGAAAGTACTCTCTACCTTGGGCTTCAATAGGAGGTTTTATTGGTACAAGTGAAAAAGCAAGGCTTTTCACGTTTCGTCTCCAGGGAAATGTTGGGATGTTTTGTTTATCATTTCCTTTGCTGGGATGCGCAAGAAGAGGATCTCAAGAATTCTTCTGCAGTCATCAGCGTGACATCTGTTTGCTTTGAGTTTTGTATAGCTTTTACTCAAATCAAGTATCTCACACTGAAGGGTTTAAATAACAGTACATTCGCTAAGATTGTACATTCAGCTGGCTGAGATACAGTTTTTCAGAAAACTTCATAATTTCAAAAAAATCAACACATTTAGGTAAAGGAACCCAAAACCTTCTAAACATTTGTGCAGAAAGCTAGAAGAGGCTCAACCTTCCACTGAGCATTTTTTCAAATAATTCCTGATAGACTCTGGCTGTGAGCTTCAATTAAAAATACTGAATACAAAAAATATAAAATTCTCAAATTTTAGTGAAAAAATTCTCATATCTTTACATTAAACTAGCTTTAATTGCATAATTGTAATTCTTAAAATTGTTTTGCCCTTGGCCTATACGTATGGCTCACCCTTTGTGGCTGTTAGCTATCTGAGCTATTCTATATGGGCCGAATGCCAGGCTTTTGAAGGATTCTCTCCATATATGGTTAATATACATTTTATATGCTTCAAAACAAATGAATGTAGATGTAAATACAATGCTTTATTTCTTGCTTTCATCTAAAAACACCTAGTATTTGATAAAAAAAGAGTAACCTTCTGTACGTTTACCCATATTCGGTTTACGGGACCCACCGACTGTTTTACTAACAGGATTTCACCTCTACACAGC